TTTCTTGGAAAAGATCAATCGGGGAGAGCCACAGCGCTGGAGGGGGGGGCCAGAGCCGTGAAGGCATTTAAGCCCGTAGACAAGCAGCCACTCTTCAAGCAAAACAACAGATGGGGGGGGGGGGGGGGGGGGGGGGGTGATTGTGGGGAGGGGGGGGCAGCCCTGGAGACACACATCTGTGCAGGATAAACACACGTGCTCAATGCTACAAACATGTGTGCGTGGTTAGTGTGTGCAGAAAAGAGGGTAGGGCCAATAATGGGGGGTTTCAAGGCTGTTAATGACTACGTTCACATGCACACTAATACACCAAACATGACCTCACTGATATCATTTGATGAGGGTCATGCAAACTGCTTAGATATTCAGAATGACGCCTTATTTTGTAGGGTTTTCATTTTTAAGACACGTGGGATATGCCGATAATATTCAGTGCTTAGGAGCCTTCATTGAACATGCATGCAGGACATTCACAATATGCATCTAAATTGGGTTGTTTACTGCCTTTTGACACACATGTTCAGCTCTGTGCATTCGAAACAAATGAACTATCAAACAGTTTGCAAGGCGGAGGTAGAGATGCATGCCCAAGAAAATGGGGAAACCAGAAAAAGGCTTAGTAATAATAATAATCGCTTAACCTTTCCACAAAGTTGGTCAAAATAAATGATGTGGAAACATGTGTAAATGTATTATTTGTATGTCTTAATTTAAAAGGGGAATACAAATGTGTATTACCCATGTTAACAGTTTAGTAGCGATATTGTCAGAATGGTGTTAAAAACCTAATATGTTGTACATGTAAACGCCGTCAGTAATCCTGTAAGACTGATGTTTTTGTGACAATAGTCTGTATCTTCAGGTCTTAAAGATACGTATCTGTTAACTATATGTGGTTCTACTCAAGGGGCTTAAAGAATATTGATTAATAATTAAAAGAAAGTGCGTAATACATTGTCGTTTGGGGTTTAAAAGATGCCAAGAAGGGAAGGTGAAGCAACAAGACGTTAATGAGTGTAGGATCAAGTCTTTTTAAATACGTGTCGACATCCTCATACCTATTATTTATTTTTAAGTAAATGTTATTTTATAATGTGTTTGCGTTGTCCTGTAAATTGCAAGTACATCAAACTTATAGAATACTAAATCATTGGAGCATCCGTTTAAAACTCGCATACGTTATCTGAATTGATAAATACATTCAAAGTAAATGTGTCCCTGCCTCAGTTCTCTAGATGCATCTCTTTAGACAACATCTACATCTTCAGTTTCAAACACTGGCCTTGCAGGTTATTGGTAATATGAATAACCGGTAATAAAGACATCCCAGATCTGTTTCCTAGCAACACAGCTCAGACCGGTCTGCAGAGGGTGTGTTTAGAGGCTGCAGATATTTCCTTTCCCATGTGTCATCGCTTCATCGATTCTCTGTCCGATCAATAATCCAAAGCAGGCACCGGGCCATCAGTCAGACCGTCTGCTGCGGTTACAATCTACTGAAGTGTCCTTGAGCAAGACATCGTCAGGCCTTTGGATCCATAACAAGGTGCAATCATCGCTCAAATCGTCATTGAACAGTTATTAGTTTGAACTGAACTCATCTGGGGTCAAGGTTTAGTTGGACGCTTCTCATTCAACGCCATGATTACTTTACCTTATCCTAGTGAGCAATCAAAGGTGGTTAGGTCCTGATTGTTGCCTCCCTCCTCTCCCCCATGTCCTAACCACTTTTCAAACAATAGGACAAGAACGGCGATGGACGGATAACATCTAATAAAAGGTATTTGTCTGGATTGGAGTCAGCGTTCATTAACCCTAAATTCAGGACTCATGAGGTGCTCACGTTGCTTGATCAACTGGGTTTTAACGGTCGTTGGATTATACATCTTTTTGAACTTAATGATGAGCATTTCCTTTTCTCTTTTTCCACGTATTCCTCCAATAAGACAAGGACAGCGGTGGATGGATTATTTACAAAAGACCTCTTTTTGGATATAACTGTCTGTTCATCAATCGTAGACTTTTGCCACTTCTTGATCTGGTTTAAGGCCAAAACTCTTTCATTGATGTTTTTATTCCTGGCTCAACATTTGAAATAATATTTTTGCCGTTTATTTTCCCTGCTCCTTATTCATGTTGCCTTCTTGCTGCGATAAGTCAGCTACATGTAGATGCGTGCTCGTTACAGCTTTGCACATTGCATGAATATTTCCCTTTTAAACTAAACTCAAGTTGTGAGTTGTACAATTTAGCGAAAATCTGTTTTTGTGATTTCCCTCCCTCATCCTCCCTCTGCTCTTTCTCACATTTCACCCTCCGGCCCGCTGTCTGATGACCTCCGGCTGTTTGGGATCTCAGAAGTCGACCAATGGGATCGTTGCCATGATGATAATGTGGCAACAGGCCGAGTGAAGTAACATCTTGCAGCGGGCCAGACAGCCTTATCTGGCCTGAGTCACTATGACTGTGTAATACTCACACACCCATTAAATACCTCTCTCTGCTAACGCTCCCTGGCCTTTGTGGGATTAAACATTTCTGAGATAACACTCAGCCATAAAGAATAAACCTTTTTAAACAACATGTTACAAAGATCAAGGTCTGCCCATGGTGAGCCCTGAAGTCAGAGGGAGGTTGTGTTTGTTTGATTCAATACTTTGGTCAGTTTCTTGCTGCTGAGACCTGACTCTATGAATCAGATGATCCTACTTTTTTATTGGATGTATTTCAAGCTACTTTTCTTTCAGATTCCAAAGCATGGCCACACAATCGCCAAAGTGGTTTCATCTACGATTGTTCACAATTCATGATTTGACATCCCTGAAATGATCCACATTGCCAAAAAGCTCACTTCTCCTTCTTCAAATGCATCATCCTTCTATGGTTTTGTTCCATCAATCAATACCTTTTTTGAAAGTCACACAAATACATCTAATTTATAAACACAAGAAACCTCCATTGTTTGCGTTGCATTGTTTGTCGCCTCCTCTGTCTGTTGGTGTCAAATCCTATTTAAAGCTGGTATCTCTGCAGCCCCCTGTGGGTTTGGATGGGAGTTTGGCTCTCCACACTAACAACACAAACCCCGAACAGCTGCTGCCTGCTGGGTAATCTGCTTTCCAAATATGAGCTCCCATCCACGGGAGACAGCGTGGAAACCAAGCTACACGCCGATATGCTCACACTTGCACTGTTTTACCTCCTTGTGTGTTTGTTATGTTTGAATTATCTTGTGTTAAATGCCTCGATGTGAAGCACTTTTAATTGCCTCGGTGTCTTAAAATGTGCGATACAAATAAACCAACGTTGAACCTTATTTCTTTTAAGTTTTGAGTATATTGTGTGTGGCGTTGTCGGGGGATTCTTGGTCTCCAGATTTTCTTTGACAGCATCTTCAAATCTTTGCAAAAATCTCGGCTTGTTAACCTGTTTCGCATCGGACGACTTTTTGGTTTCATGTTAAGGTTGTGCAGAAGGACTGGATGAGTAAGGAGGATGTGGTTCTTGCTCAAGGACACTTAAAGTAGAGAGGAACAGGTACAAGCTGCTCTGTTCGATGTTAAGGGTCTTGTCTTTCAAGTAAACTAAAGCTTCTAACGTCTAAAGATTCAATCCTATCCTCGCCTTGCAGAAAACTTCCCTTACTCCAAACTTGTTTTCCTCCAGAGGCACTGTTCGCTTTGAAACGCCTGAAGCCGCGGTAAACAATAACACCAAAGCGCAGACGTGAGGTGGAGAAGCAGATGGTGGACGCAGTCAATCTGCATTTAAAAGGCAAATCAGTTTGTTTCATACTCTTCTGACTCTTTAGCTTTCCCCCTCGCCCTTGACAAGTACATCCAGCCCACACTAAACACCCACAAAGAGAAGTATGCTCGCCAAAATTATTCATAAACTTCTGCCAAACAATGTGGGGCGGGGATTCAGGCAGCCAGCCACATGGACACACGTCTGCAGCAGGGAGAGAGAGAGGCTAAACGTTCAGATGATAGAGATCTGTGGCGCTGCTAGGGTTACTTCCTGTCCCGTGGAGACACGGGATAGAAATGAGGGCTGGAAGAATGTAAATATATCCCTATTATTGAAATTCTTCGGAGGATTAAGAGGGAAGAGATACACGTCTGGAGGGAAAGAGTTGACAGAGACCTGCTGAGTTATATACACTTTTAGATCGAGGAGCTTCTTAGTTTTCAAATGATATCCTGTGTTCTCCAAATATACAGCAAAACAAGATGACTGTCACGATTCTGAGAGAAAAGCCTTCAGTGTAAGCAGATTACTTTTTGCCAATGAGGGGGCTCAAAGCCTGATATTTTGGGGGCATATTACTCCTGCCCCCCTCTTTAGGACCACCACTGGATTAACTATGATTCTGAATTTTTTGTTTGTCTATAAAAAGAAAAGCATTTTAGCAGGCTATCTCTCCGTAGAAAGCTCAATAGACAGTGGATGGATGACGGAGATGTATCCATCGTTCTGATCAGGCTGACTCATTAGTAGCATTGAGGGCGAGGATGTTTTTACTTCGATGAGGAAAGGTTGGGCGTAGAAAGTTGGTGTTGAAGTGTGTGAGTATTTTCCACAAACACAACACACCGCCTGTTGTAACACCTCTGCTGTTAAGTTGCTCGCCATCGTACCGTGGACAAGCGTCAACACAGTATTTATCGTCTACATTTGGGCGATAATAATTGAATATCCTGAGAGCCAAGACTTTGTTTTTATTTATAATCAGATGGAAACCAACTGTCTCATGCACTGCCAGGTTACTAGGAGTCTGTCACTCATTACTTCAGGGAGACATAAGGTGTAACCCTAACCCTAACCTAACCCTAACCCTAACCTAACCCTAAACTAACCCTAACCCTAACCCTAAACTAACCCTAACCCTAACCCTAAACTAACCCTAACCCTAACCCTTACTTCAGGGAGACATAAGGTGTAACCCTAACCCTAACCTAACCCTAACCCTAAACTAACCCTAACCTAACCCTAACCGAAACCTAACCCTAACCCTAACCGAAACCTAACCCTAACATAACCCTAACCCTAACCTAACCCTAACCCTAACCCTAACCCTAATAAGGACCAAAACACAACTTTCAAACATAAATCCACAACTATCTCGCAAATGCACCGGAGCGACATCTGCCTGATTTCAATGGCCGGGTCACAAATGTAGAGAGAGAGAGATTGGCTGTGGCTCAGGGGGTAAATGTGTGTCTACCTATCGGAGGGTCAGTGGTTCAATACACAGCAGTTCAAAGAGTCTAAAATAGCACCGGGAGTGTACAGTATTGAAGTGCAAGTAAGTAGCTTGGGATAAAAGTGTCCGCTTAATGACATGTAATGTAATAACTGAATTGAAGAGAAAAGGGGCCTTGTTATGGGATCAGGAGGAAACCAACACTAGAGGAAGAAGAAAGAGGACACTTAGCAGCACGAACACAGAAAGGAAGTGTCTGTTTCAGAGAGTGGGCGTCGAGCAGAGAGAGGAATATCAAACTAAGGGGATTCTCGGTCGGTGTTGACCTCGTATGAACGCCGCCCGAAGAGCACCCACCCACTTATCTCTAAACACCCAGCCCGTCTCTCACACACTCCGCTTTAGTTTCCAAGGGAACTAAGTCATCGCAGTCGCAGAAAGACGAATGCTGAAGGGTCATCTTGTCTTTCTCGATTCCTCTCATCGGACAAACAATGACGGCGAGTTTCATCCGTCTCATATGCCATCGACGGGGTATGATTTATTCAGAGCGTACACACACACACACATTCAGATCACTCATCCCTGCCACACTGGTGCGTCAGCAGATACTGTGGGAAAGCGTCGAGAGAGAGCCTCCTTTTCTTTCCCTTTCATCGCCGCTCATTACTTGCTTTCCCGCCTCCTGCCTCCCCATCTCCCCCCCCCTCGTTCACAGGCGGTATACCACGCAGTATGACACAAAAGTAGACCACACACACACACACACACTTTCAAACACACAAGGTGCATGAGGACATTGAGACATTCCCATCGATTCATTCCTGTCGTTTGGCAGTGGGTTCTCCAGCGGGGTGTGATGGGATTTATACTTATCTACTGAGACCAAAGAATAACGTAAAACATGTCTGTTTGTAGAAGGAGGTCACCAAATATGACAGGAAGACGTCTGAAGTGGGAGAAAGAAGTGGGAACATCAGCCGTAAACTTTAGTAAACACAGACAGAAAAAAAACAATTCCCCAATTCCAAGTGTCTCCACTCGGCTCTGTAATACACCTCTCTTTACTTCCAAACGACCAATCAGCTCGGAGGAAGAAAGAGAGGACAGGGTGACAGAAAGAGAGACAGCTTGGCTCCTCCCCCAAAAAAGGGAGGGATGAGGAAATCTATGATGTGTTTTATCCAGTGGTTGTATCCTCTCAAGAGACCTCTCTGTGAATCCAAGGACGATGCGGTTCAGTGATCCCTTTTTTCACCCCAAAATAATATTTTTAAGAGATTGCAACATCAGTGCTGCCTGGTGATTCATGTAGTATCCCTCCAATGAGAGATGTAGTTCTTCAGTACCGTTTCGCCCCCCAAAACTCAGTGCCGAGGCCTCATTCGGGTCCTACTAGTAACGTCACATATTCTATCCTTGCAGAACTCCTAGCCGTCGGACGCTTTGCTGTAAGGGTTCTCCAGGAGGTAGCGGTACCGTTCATAGTGCTCCAGCATATACTTTGGCGCGTACATGTGCTCTTTGGCGTCCACAGGGGGATATTCCTGAAGGGAGCCATCGAACCAGCCCCCCGTCCGGATCAGATCCCGGATGTAGTTGAGGTCCCGTTTGTCCTCGTAGTCCCCCCACCGCGGGAAGTCTCCGTTCTGAGCCGACACCAGCTTGAAAAAGATGCCCTCGGGCCTGAAGCACCAGGAGCAGTGCCAGCCGGCGAAGTGGAAGGGGCTTCCCACCGACCACTGCACCAGGATGTGGCCCGTGTCGTTCTCGTACTTGCGGAAACCCGGCATGGTGTAGTACTCGCGGCGCCGGAGCTTGATACCGTCGCCATCGTAGACGTCTCGGAGCATGCCCACCGTGCAGCCGGACACCACCTCCAGAGAGCCAAACTGCTTCCAGAAAAATCCATACAGCGACTGGAAGTGGGAGGAGAAGAACCAGGAATTATAAACAGAGACACATAAATAGATATTAAAGGTCTCATAGTACTAATTTTAGCCATATATTATAGGTCTCAGATATATAACAAAGTGTTTTGCTCAAAATACCAAACAGATCACCCATTCTGTCATTTTTAGAGATGTGGGTACGGAGAAGGTTTTGCTTTCTGACACTTTGTGAGTCTCCTGACACCAGGGACACATATTTATGTATAAAAGACGTCTAAAAGTGCATTTTGCATGATAGGAGACCTTTCAACCTGAATCCAACTCATCAAATTATGAACGAAGACAGGCACATTCTTGGAATTGGTTGATTGAAGATCCGCCCAATATCTTATTATGGTTTGAAAAACTGATGTCCAACACGTGTTAAAAGGAACTCTGGACGAGTTTGTTAGGAACTGGACCCCAATTGCACCGTACATGAAAGAGGAATGGTCAAAGTCAGCTTTATTGTCAATAATTCTACATGTTGTACATCCAGAAATATTGAAATATCGTTTCCCGCAGTCCTACAGTGTGACATATATACATAAAACAAAGGGCCTAGATAAACATGGTATACATTAAACAAAACAAAAAGGGCCTAGCTAACCGGGGTATACAGTTTAAAATGTTAATAATATAATTTAAGTGTTCAAAAGTACAGTTTCAGTGCAGTAGCATGGGAGATGGGCAGAAAAGTGAGTTAGGGGGTTAGAGTCCAGGACCATTTGGGGCAGGGGAGAAAGGTCGGAGGCAGGGTGGAGAGTTCAGGGGAGAGATGTCAGAGGGCGGAAGAGATGGAGGGAGGGGAGAGAGTTCAGCAGCCTGACCGCCTGGTGGAGGAAGCTGTTCAGTGTTATAACTATTGGCCTAAATATAACGATATATGTGCTCACACATGAGTACCACACTAGGTTGTTACTGTTTTTGTTCTGTGGGTTTTATTATGTTTCGTCCTAAATGTTTTGGTATTTCACTTGATTGTGTAAAGTCAATGGTACTGTAATTGTTTGTAATCTTAATATAGATTCCTTTGTATGTATTATTGGTACAGACCACAGTGTTAACACAGCTTGAATAATCCATCTTAACTCTAACCGGGACACACACATCCATATCGTGCCAACTCTACAACCTCAGTTCCTGGAGACCCCATATTCTTTGCCCTCGTGGTGAAAGACAAACACTACGGGGTTAAATTTCTCTCAATAAGTAGTAGATTTTAGTCGAGAGTTTGTCTCAAAACTCTGTGTGTGTAAAAAGACGATCCACAAGCAGAGATTTGAGATCTGATCGAAAGTTGTCAATGTTAGAGAGAGATTCACACATTCCTTTTGTTTATTTGTAAACTAATTATAGTTTTCACAGATCTTTTATTTGTGAAATATTTTGCGTATTTGCAGTTCCGTTGTTTTGAATGCATTTGTGGATGGTGTTTTACATTTACCCATCACACATTTACACACAAATCATTTTTATGTTAACACAAATATTATTGAGACAAATCTAACCCCATAAAACACTGAGTTGTTACCTTGCGCATATGGATGGCGAAAGGCTCCGTCCAGCCATCGAACAGCTTGAGGAAGAGGAGGCCCTCTCGTGCTGGGATCTCATCTGCGTCGTTGATGACGAAGACGTCGTCCGATCTTAAACCCGACACCCTGGACAAGCCGTTGTGCGTCAGGTAGGTTCGCAGGTAGTCGTCCGCGATCCAGCCGTCCTGCCGACCGCCTTCTGGGAAGTGATCGAGGAACACGTACAGGATCTTGTGACGGATGTAGTCGTACGTACCGTTGAGCAGGAGCCGCAGGAAACTGGGGGAAATATCATATTAGACGACATTTAGTGGACTATCTTAAAGTGCCATTAATGTGTGTGTTGTAATATAGGATGTATTCCAATGTTTGGTTAAATCCCTTCCATTCTAGATAGCCATTTTTTTCCAGAAGGGTTAGACATTTGTTATGGCGCGTTTCCACTACATGGCCTCGCTCGGCCCCGCTCGGTATGGCTAGGCCTCGTTAGGACTGGCTCACTTTATGGCGCATTTCCATTACAGTTTAGGAACTGGGGTAGTATCTATAGTAACGCAGTGTAGGCGGAGCCGTGACGTGATCTTCAGAGGACCCCAGAAAAACAACACAGCTGTTAGCTGTTAGCACTCAGAGCTCACAGCTCCTCATATCTGTTCAGAAACTAGACAAAAGTTAAACAAGTACAAACCACAGACTGCCTGTGTCATGGTGAATACAGTCGCTGCTTTATTTATGTCTGTAGGCCGTTGTTGTGAGTGTGGACGGTCGGAGCATATACTGCGTTAGCTTAGCCAATCTCCATTTAGAAAACACGCATTTTAAAAGGTTTTTCTCCTGCCGTCTGTCTGCAGACTTGACAAAGCATTAATTCATGGTTTTTACTAACCGGTATCAGTATGTTGTTACTTCGGCATCATTTTGAAACGTGTATTACAATTAAATCACGGTCAAATATGTCCATCTTGTTGTAGTTGTAGCCCCCTTGCCAGCGACGCTCTCTCTAGTTTAGCATACTCAGCCCGACTCAGCCTCGTTGTCTCTGGCCCTAGACCCATGATTTTATGAGGCCAGAAAAACTGTGAATTAGGACCAGCCGGCCGGTACTAGGCCAAGTGGAAACGCAACCAAAGACGGGCCGCTGACGTCACAGCCCTCTTAAACCGGGCTGCGCGCTGTAGTGGAAACGCGCCATAAGTAGACTCTTGACACTTGCTGGAGATCAACAATGCAAGTGTAACCAATCACATCGTTCATTAGGACTTCTTACTGCATTTATCTAAAAGGTACCCTGTGGAGTTAAAGCAGACCACAGTGTTAACACAGCTTGAATAATCCATCTTAACTCTAACCGAGACACACACATCCATATCGTGCCAACTCTACAACTTCATTTCCTGGAGACCCCATATTCTTTGCCCTCCTGGTGAAAGACAAACACTACGGGGTTAGACATTTGTTAGTAGACTCTTCACACTTGCTGGAGATCAACAATGCAAGTGTAACCAATCACATCGTTCATTAGGACTCCTTACTGCATTTATCTAAAAGGTACCCTGTGGAGTTTTACACCACAAGTGATGCTACAAAATAACATTTTTGATTGCATTCTTTACAAACTCATGTAAGAGGAAGCAGGTGTAGGGATTGGTTTCAAGCTATTCCAATGATTGACAGTTTGTGATTCTACCAAGAATGGTGGTGAAAAAGGATCATGTAATAAATGCATGTCCCAAAACATTAACGAACGAACGAAAACCAAGAATTTCTTTGGACTTCAATAATCCATACAATTACGGTTAGTCCCTCTAGTTCGATAAGTCATAAATACTTTATTTTGTGCTTTTTTCATGTTGAATGTCAAACCTTTATAAAAAAAAACTAGATTTATAATGGTGCTTTTGTATGATTCCTAGTCGATTAAATCAACTAATTGCTAAATCATTGTTAGTCCATTTGGAGTTTATTTACTTGCAGACACCCCTACCTACCTGCCTTCTGTGTTAAACAATGTAAACCTTACTATATCATTTTCAAATTCACAACCATGCAACCCTTACATGACTTTGACATGAATTAACAGAGACTTCATGTTCACCGTAAGGGATTGAACAAAGTTTCAAAAGTCTGATTATTGACTTTCCCCCCATACAGAACAGAATGGGAACCTATGCTGCATGGAACAGCAAAGACAGCATATCCAGCAAAGTGTAACATTCATTAGTATTGGCAAAGACCTGAAGCACAGAAAGAGAACAACAGGCAACAAGGAGTTCTTGTTTTACAAATGAGGCCTTTCAGAACAGAGACCCCCGTGTCCATACACCGATCCTACTGGAAGAACGACTCCATTAACCTGTTGATATGCATATCGAGGGAGACTGCTCACTGACCGTTACCACTCTCATGCGGTGTCACATCCTATGATTGAACACACCAATCTTCTTCGCCGAGGCCGCACACAGAGTCAATCATGTCGCTCTTGTCATAATCTGCTGTAAAATTGCTCCCGAGGCATTTGGGTGTTGTTGCCAAAGGATCATCGCTGTAATTGTTATTCCGCACACTGATACTGAAGAAGCATGAAGGTTGGCTGTAAACAAGAACTGAACGCTGTAAACGATCACTACTCAATGCATCGTGTCGAAAGTTGGCAAAAACTTCTGTGATTCTGTCGAATTCTGTATTCATTATACTGATGAATATGGAAACGGAGCATAATTGGTGATTTAAAGTGGACCTATCATGCTATATTTGAATAATCTAGTGTAGGACCATACCTATATAAGGCATATTTATACTTTTTTTTTTTCAAAATACCAAACAGATCATGCATTTTAGCCATGCCTCATTTTGCTCAATTTGACAATTTCTAGCTCTGGGCTGATTCTGTGAGAACAGCACCATCTACTGGCCTGGCATATGTACTACAGCGTCTCCAGCGCTTTCGAACGGCAATGGCCGTGGCTGTCTCCTCCTGATTGGTGGAGTTGGCCCAATAGCCGTGGCGCCACCGTCCTGACGTCAGGACAGTGTTCAAATCTGTATCAGTCTGTATCAGATCCGTTGCAGCCCCTTTTTTAGAGATTTGGGTATGGAGGAAAATAGAGAGGGTTGTGTTTTCTGACACTTGGTGAGTTCCCTGGAACACCGGGGACACATATTCATGTAGAAAAGACGTACAAAAGTGCATTTTGCATGATAGGTCCCCTTTAAATAAAGTAACATATGATAAGGATCGTGCTCGATATCGGAATAAACTGACATTGGGATTTTTCTGTGATATATATAAAAAGCTAAATGAAAAAATACAGGAAATGTGCCAGTTTTTTGGTCAGCATCATCCTTTCTAGCCACTGTGTTCAAATACAACTGATTTTCTTTTTCTTTTCAAAACCTAGTCTTCCTGGTGGTGGTTGAAGATTATCTCGCCTGTTTTATTGTATGATAAATTGATCAAGAATGTTTGTGGTTCACCTGCACGTCACCAAAAACCCTTAAAACAAGGATCTATCAGACAGACCTCTCTTGTACATTAGTCATGTATAATGTTGTTGTTTTATATCAAACTGAAAAAGGTTGAAGCATGACGTCTTTTAGTTAATTTGCCCTACTTGACATGCATTTGACTTGCACCATTGTTCCACTTGCACAATGTTAACTTAACAGGTTAAGACGCGATGATGACATGATTATATTATATCATATTGTTCAGTTAACTTCACTGCGCTGTGATACAAGTGTCACAATTGTCTGTAATAAACCCTGAAGTTTGCTCAGCATGCACGTCATTCTACAAGGTTTTACTGCCACAAATAGGGCAAAGAGTCACCTTCTGATGGCCATGAAGCAGCTCAGTGACACATTAAACATCTTGACCTTGGAGGCTTGAATGATCTCCACACACACACACTCACACACACGAGAATGGTGTCTTCAAAGTCAAAGTCAACTTGTGTGTGCAGACAAAGAAATCGAAATACCGTTTCCCCCAATCCCGAATACAAAATACAAATATATATAAAATATGTATATACCTATATATACACAATCAACAGACACTAGATCTATACATATGCACACATTAAGACATAAATAAGTCTTACCTCAGAGGCCGTTTCTCTCCGTATGCAGTGAAGTTGGATTCACAGACGAGGAAGAGATCGACTGCCTGTGAGAGCTCGTGAAAGCGTACGTGCAGCAGGTCGAACTCGTGGTTCACGTTGATGGCGTTGATGACCCTCCGCGGGGTTTCTCTGGGCGTCAGCCGCTCCTTGGTGGGCAGGTTGGAGTGGTACACCATGGTGGGAACCCCGCAGTACGGCCCGTGCCACCCCGGCCGACACACGCACTTCACCAGACGCTTCCCATTCCCTCTGGCTCTGGTCTTTGCTTTAGGATTCATGGAGGGCTGCTGCTGGACCTCCAGAGGCTTCCTTTGCCCAGCATTTCGATGACCTTCCCCTGCTCCGTTAGCCACAACCCCCCCAGTTTTCCCAGAGTATTCCTTTTGGGTAGCCACCTCTGTTCCCTGCCTAAAACAAAAGGCTCCGGCTTTGGTTCGGACAAAGAAAGCTGTTCTGTCATTGAGGAGCTGGTGATTGCGGGTGTGGAGGTCTCCCAATAATTTTAAGGGGTCGGGCATCCGTTTTCTGTCCTTGTGCTGTTTACCCACCAGGATGTTCTCCGGGAGGTCAGGGCCTGCAGGGTGACTCGGGTTTCTGGGTTTCAAGTGGTCTTCAGCTCTCTCCTGGAGGAAAGACCAAGAAGAGAGACGGGGATTACAACAACATCCTCTGGGACCCAAAGCATGCTCTGAACAGAGCATCTGAACTGCTACCATCTAATGGAGATTGAATAAAGTCAGCCTGAAGCATCCTTTGTGCTCCAGTCGATCCTCTCAGTGAACACAGAGCTGAATCCAGATCAGATGCACGCTGAAGGCTCTTTGAGCATCTCTCACTGATCCTGCTGTTATGTTCCATGTTTGTTGATTGTTTTCCATGTGTTGTGTCTTGATATCTGTCTATGTTGATGTTACACATGGAGCTGCTGTGATGCAAGGAGCATTTCAGACTTGATCTGACCAATAAAGTATTATCGTATCGTTATCGTTTTAGGGTAACTTATAATAATAATAATAATAATAATAATACATTTGATTTTTATAGCGCTTTTCCTAGTGCTCAAAGACGCTTGTCCAGCATAAATATCATTATTGTAGTAACTTGTCCATAGAGTAACATAAATATCATTATTTTAGTAACTTGTCCAGAGAGTAACATAAATGTCTATATTTTGTTGCCATTGATAAACAGATAGGTAAACCAAGGAAAAACTAGACGGTTGGGCATTGACATTCTAATTATGCTAACTAGGATTGGGCAATTGGAAGAATATATTGCGCCAATAAACCTCCTTCGTCTTCAGCTCTCTCCTGGAAGGAAAGACCAAGAAGTCTACATTTTGGAGACATTGTTAATCGGATATGTAAACCAAGGAAAAACTTTAAATTCAGGGCATTAAAATTCGTAAATATGGTAACTAGGATTGGGCAATTGGAAACAATATATTGTGCCAATAAACCTCCTTCGTCTTCAGCTCTCTCCTGGAAGGAAAGACCAAGAAGTCTACATTTTGGAGACATTGTTAATCGGATATGTAAACCAAGGAAAAACTTTAAATTCAGGGCATTAAAATTCGTAAATATGGTAACTAGGATTGGGCAATTGGAAACAATATATTGTGCCAATAAACCTTCTTCGTCTTCAGCTCTCTCCTGGGAGGAAAGACGGATATGTAAACCAAGGAAAAACTTTAAATTCTTAAATGTTCATAATATAGTAATGTTTCACTCACATCAATGGGATTGTCCCCCCGCTGGTTCTCTTCTGGTTTCTCCCAGGGGTGAGGGGGTGCCGGCTCGTCCCTCAACCTCACCTCCAGCCCTGCATTACCAACGATCCCATCTCCTCCCAGCACGACCCCCCCGATCCCCAGTCCTCCAACTCCTCCATCGCCCGCCACCGCTCTGGCTTTGGTGTCCGATTGGCGGAGGATGGGAAGGGGCGGGGCCTCTTCTGGGGAGGCGGGGCTAATCGGGGTGCTGCCCACGCCCTTCTCCCTCCAGAAGAAGCCGGTGACCATGATGAAGGACTTGATGTTGGGGTAGGGGGCGGAGAGCTCTCGCAGCAGGGACACGTAATGGAGGGCCTTGTAGTAATGCAGGAAGGAGATGACGCACAGCCCCACCGTGCACAGCAAGAACACCCTGTGCCGCCGCATTTTCATCCTGAAAACACAGAAGAAGAAAAGGAAACATGAGTAAGGACTGTTCTATCTTAAAGGTCATCTATTATCCTCCTCTTCATCAATATATCACAGGTCTCAGATATATACAGAGCTTGTCTCTGATTGGCTGAAACACCAAACAGATCATTGCAGCATTACCCATAATCCCCTCTGTTTCAGCCCTGTTTCCAAAGTGCTGATTCTCTGTCTGTTACTTCAGATGAAAATAAGGAGCCCCTCCCCACGCCCCTCTGAGAGAGATTTGGTTACAAAGAACTCAATGGTGCTCTAGGAGGAGATTCAGGTGATAAGGGGGGGGGGGGGGTTACCTTGGTTGGTGATTGGCTAATGGTTACACAAGCCAAAACATCGTTATGACATCATAAAGTGGCTAAAATCTGATCCGCTCATTTTCAGACAGGTTTTTATAGAAATGGATCAGGACAAAAAGAGAGAGAATCTTTTCTCCTGAAACTTTCAGAGTCTCTCAGAGGGGACACATGTTGATGTAGAAGAGACATGACAAAGTGGATTTTGCATAATAGGTGACCTTTAAGGCAAGGCAATTCAAAGTGCTTTACAAAAATGAGAGACATTAAGAAAATGGCATTTAAAATCAGTCATTAAAAAGCAAAGATAATAAAATAAACATTAAAAGAAAAAATACATGAATAAAAGTTACAGTGCAGTTTAAGATGTGAATAGTTCAAGTAAAAGCAGCGGCAAAAAGAAAAGTCTTCAGCCTGGATTTAAAGTAGTCCGAGTTGCAGCGGACCGGCAGGTTTCTGGGAGTTTGTTCCAGATGGAGCATAATAAGTGAACGAAGAAGAAGAAACATGAGTCTGACTAACAACATCAAAAAACCATTTCCGCTCTGGAAGAAGCTCTTTAATTCCCTGCATCTTCTTCTGCAGTGGGCGAACCACAATTAACTTAGAAGTAATGGCCTCTGGGATGTTAAAAAGCAATACTCAGAATGAAAGGAAGGAGGAAGGTTTTAGCTTCAAGTGCTTCAGGGCTTTCAGTCTTTGTAAAGAAAACTAACGGTTTACCACTCAGTCTGTTGTTTTCTGCTCTTTGGGTTGTTTCTATGGGTTTTAGTGCATGTAAATGGTCTGCAGAGGTTCAAATCCTGTGTTCCCTTCAAAGGACGTTTCTCCCCCACTCTCTGGGGGGTTTTCCCTTTGGATTTTGGATTATTGCAGTAAATAATCTCTGTTGCAAACACACGTATCAGTCAAATCATTTGTAATGGAGCCATACTACAATCCTCTGAAGTGCAATGACCTTTATGAAGCTTTAGGAAGCTGAAATCGATTACTAAAAGAAAATGTGAATTAATCGAACTATTATTAAACCTGATTTTCTCCCAGGGGATTAGAGAGGCTATATCCTGCTGATGTTCAGGTGTATATCTGTCTCTACTTTAAAGAGTCCTCTCCTGCTGATGTTCAGGTGTATATCAGTATGTAGTGTCTCTACTTTAAAGAGTCCTCTCCTGCTGATGTTCAGGTGTATATCAGTATGTAGTGTCTCTACTTTAAAGAGTCCTCTCCTGCTGATGTTCAGGTGTATATCAGTATGTAGTGTCTCTACTTTAAAGAGTCCTCTCCTGCTGATGTTCAGGTGTATATCAGTATGTAGTGTCTCTACTTTAAAGAGTCCTCTCCTGCTGATGTTCAGGTGTATATCAGTATGTAGTGTCTCTACTTTAAAGAGTCCTCTCCTGCTGATGTTCAGGTGTATATCAGTATGTAGTGTCTCCACTGTGACATGTCTCCATGCTTTAATGTTCAGAAAGCTCAGTCTGCTCTGATTGGTTAGCCGGCCGGCTCTGTTGTGATTGGTCAACCGCTTAGAGATGTCCCGCCCCTTAGCCTATCATGTACAATGTGTTGAAGCGCTAGCCAATAGGAGCGTGAGTGTTTCAAAGTGATGTCACTGTGTTCTGGAAGTAAACAAAGGAGTCTAATGGAGGAGTTTCAGGCGGGGGGACACAGGGACTTTAGCCTTTGCAGACAAATGAAGCTCAGCGCAAGTTCTTTCAGGAAGACTGGTATCACTCCGCAGCTGCTTATAATCAGCTCATCACGGGCGTCCTGCTAACCTATTACATTCACCTCTTTCTCAGCAGCCAATCAGCGTGCTGCAGCCAAATTTTAAAAAGGTTCTCCTCTCTCCTGCAGTCAGCTGTGATTTCAGGTTTTCATGCTGCCGCCCGCCTCCTCCCCGTCCGCCTCCTCCCCGTCCGCCTCCCCGTCCGCCTCCTCCCCCGTCCGCCTCCTCCCCGTCCGCCTCCCCGTCCGCCTCCTCCCCCGTCCGCCTCCTCCCCGTCCACCTCCTCCCCGTCCACCTCCTCCCCGTCCACCTCCTCCCCCGTCCGCCTCCTCCCCGTCCACCTCCTCCCCGTCCACCTCCTCCTCATCCACCTCCTTTCATCACATCCAGTGCCAGGAGAGCTAATCCAAAGACCTCCTCACATCCCCTCTTCATCCCATCTCCTCATCAAATCCAGATCTTCAGCCTCATCACCAGTGTCTAAATCACATGTGTCAAACTCAAGGCCCGGGGGCCAAATCAGGCCCTTGGTGGATTTAATTTCGGCCCGCAGGATAATTTAAAATTGCTATTAGATCTGGCCCTCCGGTATATTGCACGCACACCTTCACTCCATCCTGAGGGTCTCCTCAGCTCAGAGCCTGACCCCAAACATTGATGAACTTGCACCCAAGATGAGATGCCAAGTATCTGAGCTAGCATCACAGAGCAGCACACTGAGTTTCAATGGATGTTTCCTTTTGCACCTTTTCTCTCACGACAACAGGCCATGTTTGGTTTGTTCTTTGAGGGAAATTGTTTTGTTGAAGCTGTTGTTGGCCTGTGGAGAAATGTAATCATAAGAAATGACTCGGGGAAAAGCTGCAGATAGAGCCATAAGAAATTAATGCAACAAACACCACCTCATCCACCAAGAGCCACGCCACCTCCTCATCCCTTCAAACCAGCAGGAAAACACAGGAAGCTGCATCCATGTTTTGTCCTCGAAGAAGACGCGCTAAATATGCATGAGCTATCATTTTTTGTAAATGTGTCTAATTATTATAAAGACTTAGAGCATTGAAGCAGGATCATAGCATCTTTACAGAGGGAAGTATTTGCCTTTATTAAACGTCATCAACACACACCAGCTCAACCACCAAAAGCCACACCACCACCTCCCTTCAAACCAGCAGGAAAACACGGGAAGCTGCATTTTAAATCACCCTCTACCCTTTCACCCTTCACCAATCCACACCCTTCACTTACACACAGAGTGACCGCAGGCATGGTGATCTCTGAGCGGCTTTAAGCCACGACATGTCTGCAGAAATTACTCCAACATGTCACCGGACGGAGCTTCAGCTACTGCTTCCTGCAGGGGGACGGAGAGTCAAATATGTGCTCAACGCTTTGCATTTAATCACCTGATATGAAGCAGGTGAGATGCTGATGTTATTCAGAGGAAAAGAACAGAAGACAGTGTCTACTTTAAAGAGTCCTCTCCTGCTGATGTTCAGGTGTATATCAGTATGTAGTGTCTCTACTTTAAAGAGTCCTCTCCTGCTGATGTTCAGGTGTATATCAGTGTGTAGTGTCTCTACTTTAAAGAGTCCTCTCCTGCTGATGTTCAGGTGTATATCAGTATGTAGTGTCTCTACTTTAAAGAGTCCTCTCCTGCTGATGTTCAGGTGTATATCAGTATGTAGTGTCTCTACTTTAAAGAGTCCTCTCCTGCTGATGTTCAGGTGTATATCAGTGTGTAGTGTCTCTACTTTAAAGAGTCCTCTCCTGCTGATGTTCAGGTGTATATCAGTATGTAGTGTCTCTACTTTAAAGAGTCCTCTCCTGCTGATGTTCAGGTGTATATCAGTATGTAGTGTCTCTACTTTAAAGAGTCCTCTCCTGCTGATGTTCAGGTGTATATCAGTATGTAGTGTCTCTACTTTAAAGAGTCCTCTCCTGCTGATGTTCAGGTGTATATCAGTATGTAGTGTCTCTACTTTAAAGAGTCCTCTCCTGCTGATGTTCAGGTGTATATCAGTATGTAGTGTCTCTACTTTAAAGAGTCCTCTCCTGCTGATGTTCAGGTGTATATCAGTATGTAGTGTCTCTACTTTAAAGAGTCCTCTCCTGCTGATGTTCAGGTGTATATCAGTATGTAGTGTCTCTACTTTAAAGAGTCCTCTCCTGCTGATGTTCAGGTGTATATCAGTGTGTAGTGTCTCTACTTTAAAGAGTCCTCTCCTGCTGATGTTCAGGTGTATATCAGTATGTAGTGTCTCTACTTTAAAGAGTCCTCTCCTGCTGATGTTCAGGTGTATATCAGTATGTAGTGTCTCTACTTTAAAGAGTCCTCTCCTGCTGATGTTCAGGTGTATATCAGTGTGTAGTGTCTCTACTTTAAAGAGTCCTCTCCTGCTGATGTTCAGGTGTATATCAGTATGTAGTGTCTCTACTTTAAAGAGTCCTCTCCTGCTGATGTTCAGGTGTATATCAGTATGTAGTGTCTCTACTTTAAAGAGTCCTCTCCTGCTGATGTTCAGGTGTATATCAGTATGTAGTGTCTCTACTTTAAAGAGTCCTCTCCTGCTGATGTTCAGGTGTATATCAGTATGTAGTGTCTCTACTTTAAAGAGTCCTCTCCTGCTGATGTTCAGGTGTATATCAGTATGTAGTGTCTCTACTTTAAAGAGTCCTCTCCTGCTGATGTTCAGGTGTATATCAGTATGTAGTGTCTCTACTTTAAAGAGTCCTCTCCTGCTGATGTTCAGGTGTATATCAGTATGTAGTGTCTCTACTTTAAAGAGTCCTCTCCTGCTGATGTTCAGGTGTATATCAGTGTGTAGTGTCTCTACTTTAAAGAGTCCTCTCCTGCTGATGTTCAGGTGTATATCAGTATGTAGTGTCTCTACTTTAAAGAGTCCTCTCCTGCTGATGTTCAGGTGTATATCAGTATGTAGTGTCTCTACTTTAAAGAGTCCTCTCCTGCTGATGTTCAGGTGTATATCAGTGTGTAGTGTCTCTACTTTAAAGAGTCCTCTCCTGCTGATGTTCAGGTGTATATCAGTATGTAGTGTCTCTACTTTAAAGAGTCCTCTCCTGCTGATGTTCAGGTGTATATCAGTATGTAGTGTCTCTACTTTAAAGACTCCTCTCCTGCTGATGTTCAGGTGTATATCAGTATGTAGTGTCTCTACTTTAAAGAGTCCTCTCCTGCTGATGTTCAGGTGTATATCAGTATGTAGTGTCTCTACTTTAAAGAGTCCTCTCCTGCTGATGTTCAGGTGAGATGTTGATATTATTCAGAGGAAGATATGCTCGAGGCAGCGCTCTGGGAGCAGCAGTGTATGTAACGTCAGATTAGCATTCATGAGATGCAGTTGTTATGCATTTGCTTTCTAAATCATACCATATTCAGAATAATGTAGGTACAGTATAGCTGACGGCCATATTCGCATTTGTAAAGAAATAAACCTGCTCTACACTTTGCTTTTTACAACATTAACACATTTTAAACTCTGCTTAACACACAAGCATCGGTGCATACTATAAATCTGACATCTCATTTGTCCTTTATCAAAGTATAAAGCTGCCAGGAAGCCAACACAATCAAACTAGCATCAACACACACACACACACACACACACACACACACACACACACACACACACACACACACACACACACACACACACACACACACACACACACACACACACACACACACACACACACACACACACACACACACACACACACACACACACACACACAGTGTAGAAATGAAACCTGTCTCTACGTTATAAAGTCTCAGAATAAAGTTATGTTAAACTCAATTAAGGAAAGTTCCCTATATGTTTATTCTGAAGGTAAAAACTGTTTAAAATCTAGCCAATCGACAGCCAGCTTGAGTCTCTACGGCGATGTGCCAGCCAATCAGAAGAGTGCATGTGTTCAGGTCAGGGAATGCATCGATGTGAGGGAAGAGGTTCAGTTCCTGTGTGTGTGTGTGTGTGTGTGTGTGTGTGTGTGTGTGTGTGTGTGTGTGTGTGTGTGTGTGTGTGTGTGTGTGTGTGTGTGTGTGTGTGCTGACCTGTTGAACTAATTTTGCATTGTAATAAATGTCAGACAGTGAAGGGGGTGGGGGGGGGCTGTCTGTTGTCATGGCTACAGACTAAATGCACTTATCTTTCAACATAAATTATTATAATAAGACCGGTAAAAATCAGAAGCCTTTCCTCGCCCTCCGTGCTGTAAACCTTGCACATCTCTGCACACCCTCGTTTAAAACTGCACAGATCTTCCATTTATAATAATGACATACTGAACATATTTTTACATTATAGTAAATTATGTGTGAACCTACTTCCTATCTTAAAATGTAAAATAAAATACTTATAGTGCATTCAAACTCATTGCATTTTAATCTTAATTATGCACGTGTAAAGTTTTGTTACTGCAGAAATAAAGACTGTTCAGCTCCTGCTTCATTATGACACACACACACACACACACACACACACACATACACACACACACACACACACACACACACACACACACACACACACACACACACACACACACACACACACACACACACACACTCTGTAGCTCGTCTGTTGATCAGCATCTAATTAGCATCTGTTGCACATATTTCTCATAACTTCCTGAAAAACCGCATCCTGTCGAATAAGGACATCGTGCAAAGACTTATATTTGACACATAGTGAAAAACCTCCGACTACACAATGTTATTGTTATTATCTATTTGTCTGTTTTGTAGTGACTGTTTTTCCTTGCCTATTTTACCTTGGATATGAACTTATATAACGTTTCCAACTTGTGCTTGCCTCTTTATTTAACATGTTAGTCTACTTATTGTTACTTTGCCTTCATCTGAAGTGTCCCTTTGCTGTAACAATGTGAATGTCCCCGCTGTGCGTAGTATAAACCTGTTTGTTTACCCTTAAAAATACAGATTAATCAACATTTGACACCAAATTGCGGTACAATATAAGTTTCAGTATTTTCAGATGTCAAACTGAATACATAGAGACCATTGAAAGCTAACTTAGTGTGTTGTGTTTACTGGAGGAACACGGGGCTATTTCTGTGCGTCCATCCATTGTCCGCACAGGAAGAAGCAGACTGGGGTAATAATCACAAAGCTGTTAGCCCTCTAGCTTTGATGCACTTGGCCACTTTGCAAAATGCATCGTATTTGTTTGTAAAGCTAACAATGCTAACACGCTCCATCCAATTCAACATACTGTGAAAATAATCACACAGCTGTTAGCATGCACGCTAGCTCTGTTGCATGACCGGTTTGCAAAAGGCTTTATTTGTTGAGCTAACAATGCTAACATAGAGAGGAAATGCTATCAGAGTTGGAAAATACTACTCTTAAGTACAATTTTGAGGTATATGTACTTTTTTAATGTAATACTGCTTTGTACTTCTACTCCACTACATTTAAGAAGTCATTATTGCACTACTTTTGGTAGTTTTAGTATGTTTTAAAGCGAATACTATTGTACTTTTACTCAAGGAGGATTTTGAATGCAGGACTTTTACTTGTTACGGAGTATTTGTAATATTTGTTATCACTATTTTCACTTTATTAAAGGGTCTGAGTACCACCTCTACCTCTGCATGTTAATATGAATGTGCCAAAACACGCACTTTTCCCCCTCTTTCTCTCATAAACTGGCACCTTTAATATTTAATATTCACAGCACTCGACTAAAGCAAAAGTGTCCCTCCCCATGTGGAGAGATGTTTGTGAGTTTACTTTGGGCCGGAGGAGAAGAAAGGGGGATTTAACATCATCTCCAACACACACACACACACACACACACACACACACACACACACACACACACACACACACACTTGAACACACACAAACTCACACACGCTGCTTTATGGCTTTAAAGATTTCGCATCGTCAGCGAAATTTGTTTTCATAGGTGGAATGATAAATTATACACCGCCTCTCCACGCCTCTAAGAAGTGTGTGTGTGTGTGTGTGTGTGTGTGTGTGTGTGTGTGTGTGTGTGTGTGTGTGTGTGTGTTGGAGATGATGTTAAATCCCCCTTTCTTCTCCTCCGGCCCAAAGCAAACTCACAAACATCTCTCCACATGGGGAGGGAAGGCTTTAATATCGTTCCATCTGAACTATAAAGCGTCTCTGGGTTTATTCTGCAGCCTCCCCCCCCCCCCCCCCTGTGACCGCTCTGCTGACCCTACCTAACAAGCACCCGGGGGGGGAAATACAAACAAAACTGAACACCTAGGGTGCAGCGGTTACAGAAACTCAAGTGTGGTCCAATCAAAACGTCCTCATAAAGACAGAAACGAAAGAAACAC